CCCTGGGGCTGATAAACAGCAATATCAGCATTGTCCGTAGAGAGCACCAGTAGACCCGTACAGATTTTACCAGATGGTTTCTGTATGGTTACAGAGACATCAGATAATGTCAGAAGTTACACTGTGGCAGCCACTGTCATGTGTCACTCCTACGGAGTTGGTTCCAGTGTTTCCAGGTACCTCTGCTTTACAACAGAGTAACCCTTTGTTTTCATCATGCTGACATGAACTGTTTGTGCTGGCTGATAGAGTCAGGGTGTTCGGGGTGGCTTAAGGACGGGAGAGTTTGAGTCTCGAGCAAAGAGATGGATTTCTGCCACACGTTTACTTTGAATTCAAGAGTTAACCTCCCCCGTTACATCTGTAATGCCTGAATCTCACAGCTCTTCTATCGTTTAAGCAAACTTGATTTGATATGTTGCTACTGGATTATGGGCATGGTTCTTCTGAGCAGTGCCGTATCTTTATTTGTGATTGGTACAAATCCCTGCAAATACAGCCTTGCAGCCTGGCTGCTGCATTAAAGTCTCTGAAAACTCCAGCACAGTTTACATCATCTGTGCCATTTGGGGTCTGTTATCATCATGCAGCAGGGAGCTGGTTGTCTGAAGCGTTAATAACAGAGGCCAAGTCTTCAGTTAAATTAGAGAAAACAATACTTCAACACACACCAGATGATTAGCTCTTGAGCAACTCCTTTATCATTTCAAAGCACTACATAAACAGTAACCAGTTAATCCCAAAACAGCTCCGGCAGAATAGAGTTGTACGCAAGATGAAACACAAATATAACAATGTATAGGGACTCATCCTATGTCCTGTTAGGAGGCTGTAATAGAGTGGGAACAAGCAGTGGATAAACATCCACAGCCATGCATTGGCCAAGATAGTACTGCTTCAGTCATCTTCTGCAGAGAAGTCATCAAAGGGGAGGGAGGAGGGAGGAAAGAATTCTCAGCCCCACGAGTTCATGGATAAAATTTACAAAGTGTAAATAAAAATTTATAGCTGAACATAACTATTTAGGCACTTAAATGCCACCGAGTGCAAATGATTAAAATAAAGTGATTTGAGTTATTTAATTTAGAGACCAAAGCTTACCCACATTTCTTACCAGAAGTTGGATTTAATTTTTTTGCTTTGTGACATCATATAAAAGAATCCGGCTTGCCTCCTATGATACAGAGATGCTCTGAGTATTTAATGGATTTTGGGACACAGATCCACAGTAAACCACAATACAAGCAACCAGATCTGGTGATGTGTGCATAACTTCAAGGAATAAAGCACAGCACTAGATTTGGAAATAAGAATTGCTATGGGCCTTATTTTTGCTATATTTAGTCTTGACAGTCAGACACAAGGAAAATATAAGTGACATATAATAGATATTTTGGAACTTTTTGGTCCTGTGATCAAAAAAGGGAACTCTGGGAGGAGTTCCCTGGTGACAGCAGATGGCAGTAGAACTGTACTCATATTTAATTTGCAGTGGAGAAAGAGTCAAGTACCTTTATTATGGAGCCAGAAAAGGGCTGCTGTGGACTTGAATACAAGTCAAAACACCTGTGCTACCAGTACCAGCCTTGAAGACACTTCAGCTTCTTCACCAACTCATTTTTCAGTATTAACAGGTTCTGCTTTTAGAGCAGTGCTTCTGCACATTCCCTGCAGAACCAGCCTTCACTGGCTAGGTTGCAAAGCACCTAGCTTGCATATACATCCTATTAAGGACACAAACTATGCCTTCTTCCACCAGAGCTTTTCTTGAAGGGCCTCATCAGGCAAAAGTTTCCAGAGCATTCCTTTTGATATTTTCATAAATTCTGTTCTGAGGTGTTAAGAGAGTCCCTATGCATGGGACACAGGCATCTAAAATCAGGGCTGAGAGTCTTGTACCAGAAGGCAGATATCCTGTGGACATCCAGGCATTGTTTTCATCCTCACATGAGAACAAACCAGCTGATTAATACAGAGGGTCAGTAGCTCCGCAGTTCCACTTTTAATTGTAAATCTGGAGTAGTTGTGAGCATGGCTTTGATGCTTCTCCACATAATACTCTCTGTTTCTATTGTTGTCCAGAAGTACTATAGCATCATGGCAGCCTGTAGATGCAAAGAACATGAAATCAACCACATCTGCAGATACCATGGCAGGCAAGCAGCGGAAAGAGAGGTGGAGTCCTCTGAAGATGAGGTAAGTAGGTGGTTTTGGTTTTGATTGAAGGTTCCTCCTTTCCTCCCATGGGACCACCGTTATCTATCTGGTGTCTGTGACGTGCATGTGGTTTGACATCACGGGCATACGAACACCTGGACTGACCTGAGCCTTCTGTTGGCAGGGGGAGGCAGAGTAACTTCTGGTGGCACCAATCAGTGTCATACCAGTCCTTTTGTGGGTGGGAAAATTTCATAGACATAAAACATCCCCTGTCTCAGGGGCTGAATTTGCTTTTTGTGTTGTATCATTAGAAAACAGTATCTTCTTTCCAGGGGACTGAAGCCTCTGTAGCACCCAGACAAGCTCAAACTTGCCCACAACATGTAAGTTTATAGAATACTTTGTTTTTAAATTGAGGTGTAGCATTTCCTTATAATTTTGCATCAAGCTAGTTAAAATTTGTGATCAGGTGTGGAGACTTTGTGATGGCACGGACGATTAACCAGTGGTGCATTCACACTCCTGATGTATGCATGGGGGGCAGTAGAATGGGCATACAGAGACCTGCACAATTGTAAACCTGATTGTGGCATTCTGGCATATAACCAGTTAAGAGTCTACTTTATATTTTGGACTGGTACAGAAAGTCAAACACTGTGACTAATCTTCAGTCTCTTGTGATTTGTATCAGCAACAATAACCCAGCAGTTCTGCAGTCTCACCTCATTTGTGCTCCTGACACATTCCCTGTGCTGAGGACAGGCATGCAGCAAGGCACGCAGCAGTTCTTAGCCAGTTATGCTGTGCCCTCATACACTCTCCCTGAAGACTCCTCTTCCTCATGGAGAAAATTTTTTTTTATTTTTCAAAGCCCAACACCTTACCAAATCAATTTTGGGAATGTCTAAGTCACAAAAGATGACAAACATAGAATTTGTACCACAGTGCAAATTAGTGGGAGCACCTTGTTGTACAGATGTTTTCCAGGTTTATGTCCAAAACGACTTAGGTTGGCAACTTTCAGTTTTGTGAGGGAGAAATTACAGCATGTTGATTATTTCCATTGATTGAAACATTAAATACTTTGAGTATGGCGCTTGCTAATTTTTGTATCAACAGAAACATTTTACAGTTTTGTCCACGCTGCTTGTATATTTTGAAAAATCTTGGTATGTTTATATAGCAGCTGAAATGTAATTTTTTTACCCAAATCCAAAATTTTTCTTTTTGTGGGAAATCTAAGATGACTAAACAGTAATGAAACTTTTTTTTTTCCTCCCTAAAGACCAGACAAGCTTCGCAAGACATCTACATTGAAGTTTCTCCTGGCACCTATTCTGTCACAGCAACCTCAGAGGACATGGTGCAACAAACCCACGTGGTGGATGTCAGCGCAGGACAATCTGTTGATTTAACTTTTGTACTATGATGTCTGCTGTTTCTTGGCAACCACAGGAATAAAACACAAGGCTGTTTTAATGCATGTAATGAACTATGTGTATCAGTTTCTTGTTAGCACTTTAATAGTATCGTCCTCTTTGGGACTCAATTTTTTATGGCCTGTATATTTGTTTTCTACTTAAAGCAATTATACGTAGCCCACTTTGTACACTGGTTTTTATAAATAATTGTACATTGTGTGCCTTAAATCCAATTATGTGACTGCCTGATTCCAGGTTCTTATGCTTTAAACAATTAAAGATACAATCAATGGAATAAAATACATAATAATTTAGTCTTTGTGGTGACAGCTTCTTTTATATTACCCTCAGACAGAACATCCATGTCACATTCTTGACCACAGAGAGCACGATCCATATGGTATGCATACAGATATACATTAGCTTCTGTGGCCTGGCACTGCTTTGAGAACACAGTGCATCTCTCCAGTCTGTACTTTTATTATTCTGATAAATAAAGTGCAAATAAAATTCACTATTTAGGACCCTAACTCAGGAAGGTGCTTAAATATGTGTCACATGTTCAGCAGAGGTGCATAAACTATTGACACTTTAAGTCCTGATTCTTTGCAGACTCTTACCTAGGCTAAACACCAGTTAGCTGCCTTTTTCCGCAGGCGGGAGGGTACCCTGAATTGTCTCCTATTTCCTGCAGGGGAAAAGTACTGCTGAGCAACTGCATGCTACAGCTTATGGCCACGTTTATACGCTTTAAACATGAGCAGTCCCACTAAGAAGACTCCCTGGATGCTCAACTCTCCCAAAGGATCAGATTCCACAGTTAGATTTAGAGATATGACATATATATATATATATCTGTAATCTTTTTGTAGCTGATGGTATAAAGGTTTCTGTTAATTTTCGTGGGAATAGAAAATTCAGTGGCTTAAATCAGCTGGATCTCTGAGCATTTTCTTGTATCTACAGAAGCATATCCTTTACCCTCTGGCTACCTTCTTTTCAGCTTTAATCATGAAAAAAATATTTTTAGCTGTCAGCTTGTATTGTTTCTCTGCTCCTTGCTTTCTACAAAAAGAAATCGCTATGCTTAATTCCTCTGGCTGTCTCCAGAGAACTGTAGACAAACTGAAGGTTTATTAGACCCTTGCTCTCCATCTGTTCAGGCTTTTAGTGCTCATGCTAGTTTACCTGGTCTCTCCAGAATTGTAAAGTGAAGTCCAAATAATTAGGAATTTAATATAATACCCTGGAGTAAAGAATGAGGACGCTAAAATTCCATGTGGGTGGAAATAGAGTTTCTCAGTTATTAAAATGATACAGTTATCCATAAGGGTATTCTACAGAGACAGTACCTAAATCAGACCTTGATTTGGCTAGTAAGTGTAACATTGATATAATATAAGCAGTTTACTTGAAATTTCAGCTCCTGAACTTAACCAACTGTACATTTATTGAATTAGCATTGATCATGTCTCTCTCTTCGCTGCCTTTTTCTGTCTGTCCTCTTCTGACATGGTCTGTATCATCAACTTTGTTGTCTCCTGTGCAAGTTGCTTTATGTTTATCATCTGACTCTGTTTTCTTTCTTGCTCTTTTCCATCTTTGTTTTCCTGATGCTGCAAAACCTTCCTGGAGGATAGAAAACAAATCCCTTGGAGGTCTAGTCTGAAAAGG